GGGATTGCGAGGCCTGCAGGCTGCCCGGCTGCAGGAAAAGCCCCAAGATAGCACACAGAGAAAGCACCTCAATGGCACCAAGCGAGGCCCAAGAGGTTGCTGGAACGCAAAACGTATTTCGGCGGCGAGCCTTCTCAGAAGGCTCGGAAGTCCTTCTCAGAAAGGGGGAAGTGAGACGGAGAAGGCCTTCTTAGAAGGCTCGGAAGTCCCCCAGCCTTCTGAGAAGTTGTCTGAGCCTTGCCCGAAGACAGCTAAAACTTCTCAGAAGGCGCGAGGGCTTCTGAGAAGCCCCGCCGCCTTCTCACTTCCCCCCCTCGCTGGCCACCGGAAAACGCATGTTTTCTGTCACGACTCTGGCGGTCACGGAGAGGGGACGGCAGGCGGGCGAGGTGCTCAGGACATGAACGACTAGCGGGCCCCAAGGAAACCGAAGGGACGTGTTGTCAGCACTCTGCCTCGAGAGGACCCCGAACATTACGGCCCTGAGATAGCCCTGGTGTTCGGCCACGCGCGAGCGTGCCAAGACCCCCCCGCAGACTCGCTCGGCACGGGAAGGCCCGTGACAGAAGCACTGGCGCGCTGGTCTCTCCACTGGACCGAATCGCGAGATCGGACTGGATCGGAAACCGATTGGGTCGCCGGCGGGTCGTCCCCGCACGACTCGAAGAGCCGGATCGCCGCGCTTCGCTCCGGCTGGGCCCAGCAGATGCATCGAGATAATCAGAATAGATAATCAGAATCGCAGCTCCGGCCGACAATCGAACCTCACCGAATGGCATCGAGGGCGGCACTTATCGGGGTCTGCTGATGGGCCTGCTTTCCACCACCACCACCACCACCACAAGTTGGAGGGGGAGGGGGTCCTCCTCCTCCTCCTCCTCCCTCTCCTCCCCCTCCTCCTTCCCCCCTCCAGCTGATGTTGGTGGTGGTGGAAGACCGGCCCATCATCCGCTGTGGATCCAGCTCTCCAGGCCCGGAACGGTGCACCACCGGGCCGCAGGCGCAGAGCAGCGAGCCATCGCGAGCAACGAGCACATCCGTTTCCGCGCCATCGCGGTCTGGACTCGTGGGCGCGATCCCGTGGGCTTTCCGTGGGTGGATCCCTCAAGCTCTCCGCCGCCTCTGGCGGTGCGCGTTGCGAGCAGGAACGCGGCAAAGCCACAGGAAATAGCGCGCATTGACAGCGTAGCTCTGCACACGTGACACATGCTAACGAGCAAGAACACAGCAAAGCCCGAGGAGAGCGAGGCATTGACAGTGTAGCTCAACATTGACACGGCAATGGCCGGGGAGCCCCCGCGACATGTCCACAGTCGCACGGATACATTCCGCGTGGGGTATTCGCGCAAAAAAAAACGTAACGTTCGCCCAGAGGCCCGACTGGCGAGGCCGCCGATACGGATGTGCTGTTTCGCCTTACGAAGCCAAGGTACGAGACAAAGGTTCGCCGGCTCCTCGTGCGCAGAAGCAGCTCTATGGCCTAAGAGCTGCCTTGCCCGCAGCCGAGCCGCTGACACGGCTGCGGGGGGCACGCGCACAGAATGCGGAGCGCGCAGAAAGGAGGGGATGGAGGAGGAGGAGGAAGAGGAGGAGGAGGAGGAGGAGGAGGAGGAGGAGGCGCTCGTGCCCGCCCTAGGAGCAGCGAAAGTCGACCCCACCACCATCGCGAGGAGCCAGCGAGCGGCGTCCAGCTTAGGACATCCCCAATCCGCAGCTTGGAGGAGGCATAGTGAACCTCCTCGCTGGAAAAGAAGCCGTTGGTTCATGATGGAAGCGGGTGCTGAGGGAAACGGGTGCTGGATCCCAGGGCCTTCCCCCAGGACTAGTGTTTCATCGTCAATAATTGTTCGAAGGTCCCAGAGCCAACGGGAAGGCCTGAGGAACTCGAAACAGGCCAAGAACCTCCAAGACTCGCCTCTCTCAGAGCTACCGTGTCGAGCTGGTTGGCTGGTGGCGGTGCCAGCATCTCCCCTTTTCTGGTGCTCGGGTCCGCGTCGGCCTCGGGGGCCCAGACATCCGACGATGTGATCTTGCAGTGCGCGGCCCCAGAGGTCCCAATCGCTTCCTCAGAGGTAGGTCTTCGTCGCAGATCCGCCGTCGATGGTCGCAAGGCCCGATCATGGGCCCTGGAGGCCGAAAATGCAAGCCGTGGCTGTATCCATCACCACCGCCTGGGGGATCGAGCGTCGGGGGCCTCGGCAGGGGATGTATATCGATAGATTTACCCGCGCCAAGCCCGAATCTATCCACAACTCGGAGGAATCCAAGAACTACGCCGGAATTGACAGAAACATCTCGTCGGAACTCGGCTTTTTTGTTCAGCAAACCAGTCTTCTAGCCTGGCGCGCCTGAGGTTGACTCGCCTGTATGCAAAGAGGCAAGGAGCAAGCACTGGTTAGACCGCAGTGCGTGGCGAAGGGGAGCATCAGCGCAGCGCGGATCCGAACCGTAAGCATTTGGGCCCGTGAACCTCCACGAGCTGCGTGCGTCGCAGCAACCGTACTCGTTGCCTTGGATCCCGTGGAAAGGATCTGCGGCAAGTCATGGGTGCCTATCATACCATCTTATGGCTCTTGTGACTGGACGGCGATCGACTCGAATCGACGCTGAATCGACGCTAGTCGACGCTGACTCCCATGATCTGCAACCGGAAAAAGAGCGCCTTTGTGGTCGGACTGCGGCACCGTCGCGCTCAGGAGGCGCGCTGGGCCTTCGCCCCAGGGGGGCCCATTTCTAGGGGGCGCCCTAAGGGGGGGGGCGGCGTTCAAGAGGGGCGTCCAAAAGGGGGGCTCACAACATCATGGCCGGAGGCATGTGCGCGGACGATGGCGGGGGGGGGGGATGTAACGTTATGAAAGAAGACGGAGTTGATGGGGGGGAGATCTGATGGCCCCTGCCATGATATCCCCCCCCTGATCATCGCCCCGCTCTTGGACGCCCCCGAGATCCGGGCGGGCAGGAGGAGGAGGTGGAGGAGGAGGAGGAGGACATGGGTTTCGGTACGAAACATTACCTTCGGGAGAGTGGTCGAGACCTCTGGGGACCGCGGATTGACACAGTCCAGCGGTAGGCCCGCTTTTGAGGTCCGGGAGGGGGGAACGATCGCTGGAGGGCAGGACGAGCACCCTCCGTGCGAGCTGTCGCGCCGTGGCAAAATCGTGACTGGAGATGTTTGACAGTTCTTGGCCTCGCTGGGCCCAAAAACTGTCAAACAACGACTCAAGATGAAGAGCCGGCTTCCGATGAGGAATCCATGCATCTGGGAAGTCACGCCGCGAAGAGCGGGAGGACGAGGGATGAAGAGGGAATAGCAGTGGTAGGAGGAGGAGGAGGACCAGGGATGAAGAGGGATGATGAGTAGGAGGAAGGAGGAAAGGGGCTGGGAGATTGGAGAAGAAGAACAAGGACGAGGGATGAGGAGGACGCGTTGAGATGAGGAGGACAGAGGATTAAAGACCCATTCCTCTCGCGGCGGAAGGAACCCTGCCCTGACCATGGTCGCGCCCAGCCGCAGAACAACGACTCAACTGATGGGCTGCGAACGAACAGTTTTCATCGCGCCATTACGGCGTCAAAGAAAACATGATTCCTCTTTATCTCCCTCAGTCGAGCGCGCTACCTCTTCCTGTCTGTTCTGTTTATTTACATCTCTCCATGTCTCTCTCGTTCTCTCTCTCTCTGACTCGTGATCTCCAACTGACGATGTCGTTTTCTGTCTCTCTCTCTATGTCTCTGTCTCCCTCGTATTCGTCCAATAACACAGCGCACCCCACACACCGCAAGTGCAAATATTCCCTTTTCTTGCAGCTGCAATGGAGACCGCACCTCTTACTTTTCTGCTTCAAAGTACATGGTCGTTCTCAGATCCGACGCTTCACGGCATCGGAGATGAACCCCAAGCCATCTGGGACCTTGCCCAGCGCGTTGAGGACGACCTACGAGGCTAGTGAAGGAGCTGCAGCAGAGAAGGAGCAGCAACGTCAGGACGAAAGTAGAAGGAAGATGACAAGGAAGTGTAATATGACCGACGACTTCGCTGTTCCTATCCACATGTCGCCTCACCGACGCGAGCTGCCCATCTTCATTGCTGCAGCGCAGAGAACTGCAACACTGCAACACACACACACAAGAAACTCTGGATCCCAAACTACTGACGTGTCCCTTCGACTTCCCCCATCTGCCGACGAAATTCCGCCTGCTTCCGCAAGCGGAGCGTCCGCCGGATCACTTCCGCCGGCTTGGGATGACATTCCGCCACCTTTAAGGAAACCGAGGAATACCGATACCCCTGCTCCCCAGACCTCTCCTGGAGCGATTTCTGACCGTCATTTCGGGGCGAATCCAGCACTGGCGACGAGGAGCGGCGCCGATCGCAAACCACACTCCAGCGTAAGAACATCCCTTGTAGTCGCGAAAGGAGGCTCAGCCGAAGCCAACGCGCCGGCGCCCGCGAGGGCGCCCCGAGGCGCCGCGGGCCACGGCAGCGCGTGGCTCGCCACGTCGCGCGAGGTGTGCGTGGGCGGTGGCGCCACGGCGCGCAGGGGCGGGCCACGTGTGCCCGCTAGGACTGAGGGACTGGAACTTGGAGGGGGAAAGGACAACGACGACTACGGCGAGGACAGCGACGACGGCCACGAGGAGAAGGAGGAAGATGAGGAGGAGGAGGAGGAGGAGGAGGAGGACACTCGCCCACGGGGGCGGCAAAGAATTGGGCCGAACCGACCCTAATTCCCTACCGAAGCAGGGTTCGAAGGCTCCAGATGACTCAGCCTGTCACGCTGAAGAGAGCAGGTGCTACACATGACCGCGCATTCCCCCGACACTGAGAGACACGACGTGCGAATCACGCCCAAATGCGCAAAGCGAATACAGAAAGTCCTGCGTCATGCGATGAACGCCTGGCTGCGAAACGCAATGCGAATGTCATGCTGCAATTCCCTGCCATACCCGACACAGAGTTCTACCTGGGGCCACCTCGCCTCCAACTGCCCGAAAGCGACTCAAAAATCACGCTCGAAGGTTGTTGAAGAGAGCCGCGCGTCCAAATACTCGGAGATGCTCCACTGCTTTCCCGTGTCACATCCAAAACGACGGTATAGTATCCTTCCCGACATGTGGTTGTAGGCGCCGGCCATAAACCCAAAGAAAGTAATTCCGCGTATGTGGCCAACGTACATCTCGAAGATCACCTTGTCGATCTTGCGCCGCAGCGCGGCACAGTGAAAGCGTATCGAAGCCCATGTCTCGACGTCGTCTACGACTTCTGATCCGTGGGAGGCCTGGGCATCGTCGGCTGTGTCATGGAGGGCGGCTTCATCACTGGCCTGGTACTCCTCAAGGGCACCTCCGCCCCCGCAGCCGATGGGTTCTGGAAGGCCCATCGCGCACTCCTCAACCACGAACTGCAACTTCCTCATTGCTGCGACGGTGGACTGCTCAACCTTCTCGCGCTCACTGAAAACGACAATGCGGTGCTCGCTCCCAACGTCCGTTCGTGTAGCCGCCTTCATGGACGGACAGTCCTCCGAACCGCCGTCAAAGATGCTGAAACATTGTGCGCCCGCCGGGAGGGGAGCTGTTAGCAACACAGCCGACCAACGCCTGCGAGCCCGAAGAGGTGGATTCCGTCTCGCTCTCGTGGTGCATGTGCTCGAATTCGCTCGTCGCAGACATCTGGACTTCTGCGGATTGCCGACACCTCTTGGTCTGGTCAAGCATGGGGTCGCCGATACCGGAAGCTCGACTCGCAAGTTCCGATACCACGCTCTGGTGGGCTTCTTCTACGTTTTTCACGTTGGTGTGGCGGATGATGTGATAGCACTCGTCCAGCTTGATGGTCTTGGACACCAACTTGGGATGAAGCTGACCACGTCGCCAAAGTATCCGCGCAGCTTGCGAGATGCCCTCGGGACGATGGCCGAAGAAGCCCGCCAGCTCACGGAGCAAAAGGCCGCGAAGCCGAAACACGATCTTGTCAGAAGATGCTATGGCTGCAGAACCGAGGGATGAATGAAGCATACGCTGTGCGCCGCGCCTGGAGGGAGCAGAAACCCTCGAGCCCATATGGCTTGAGCCAAAATGGCTTGAGCCACAATTGCTACGGTGGTGGAAAAGGAAGGAGGAGGAGGAGGAGGAGGAGGAGGAGGAGGAGGAGGAGGAGGAGGAGGAGCGCCAGCACCTCAAGAGTCCACGGGCATCAGGGCACTCAACGCCTCGTGGGTTTCAGCCAGGGGTAAAGCCTAGCCGAACCAGGCGGAGGCGGAGGACTCGAGTAATTGTTGGGCATCTTGGTTAATGCCGCTTTGAGGGCATACAGCTGCTGGGGCAGAGTTAAAGGACGCCCATCTTGATGAGAGGCCATATCCTTGGCAACGTGGTATATATAGAAGCTGAGGGCAGTGGCCAGAATGGCATTTTCCTTGGTGAGGTCAAACGCGGGATGTTGCACAGGTGAACCAAGCCCGAGACGGAGGAGGGGACACGACGAGACGACAGCTCGAGGACGACAAACGAGATGAATGAGGCGGGGGCACTTCAAGTAGTGTGCGATGCTATCGGGCTGAGGGCACCCGAAGATGCAACTCCACTTACAATCCGTAACGTGCATGCGGTGAGTGGTCGTCCATCCACCCGCAATCATCGATGCTATCGGGCTGAGGGCACCCGAAGATGCAGCTCCACTTACAATCCGTGACGTGCATGCGGTGAGTGGTCGTCCATCCATCCGCAATCGTTTTGATTTACGGCCATCGCACCACGGGTGGAGCCCGGCTCAGAATGTCTCGCACCATGTCCCCCCCGCTCCCTGAGTCGAGAAGGGGTCGGACAGAAAAAACACGTGCGCAGGCGCCGGCCAGTTAGCAGCTGCACCTGGGCAGGGTAAGCGAAGCCTGCAAGGGAGCGCTGAAACACTCCGTGCATCCGCGGTCGACAATTAAGTGCGAGCGCAGCGCGCACGGCACAGCGCGCCCGCTGTTGGGCGAGACGGAGGTGCGATAAAGTAAAGGGAGGATTCGAAGCTGATACGGCGGACGCAAGCTCGTGATAATGTTGCACAGTGGCCTGCCTGCGGCCCCAGCACGGTGCACACCACATGCCACTGCTGAGAGCGGGGAGGCTCAGAGACTCCAGGGCGGCGGCCTCCAATCGCCGAAACAGCGTCCCCCAAATCGTGTCTAGCGTAACGGACGCGCATCTGCCGCACGCCATGGCATTCGTGAGAAGAGAGGTGGGGGAGGGGGAAGGAAACCAACTCGCCAGGGAGAGGAACTCGGAGCGAGAGAACGAGGAGAAGGATGATGTGGATGATGCGGAGAAGATGTGAGCCCAGTGGAACCTTGGATGGCCCGCGGGGCGTGCCCAACGGCGCCAGTCGAAGACCGCATCCCGGCGTGGCCACACCCTCGCTTCGGGTGTTGCTTTTCGCTCCATCTTGGAGCCCCTGGGGCCCTCTGGGCCTCGTGAGGGGTGCCCGGGAGGCCGTCTGGGCCACCCCGAGCATCCTGGGGGTACCTTGGGCAAAGGGGCACTTCTGGCAGCACCCGATCTGTGGTCGCCGACGCTCCCGGCTGGGGGCCGGCCCTGGACGAGCTCTTCGAGGCGAGCCCGGCCGCTGCCGCGCGGCGCTCCCAGGCCGGCAGAGGCGCGCGGGAAGGCCACGAGCGCACGACACGCCCCTCGCGGCCCCCCACAAAGGCGTGTCTCCTTCTCCTCCTCCTCCTCCTCCTCCTCCTCCTCCTCCTCCTCCTCCTCCCTCCCTCCCTCCCTCCCTCCTCCCCCTCCCTCCCTCCCTCCCTCCCTCCCTCCCTCCCTCCCTCCCTCCTCCTCCTCCTCCTCCTCGTCCTCGTGCTCCTCCTCCTCCTCCTCCACCTCCACCTCCTCCTCCTCCTCCTCCACCTCCTCGTCCTCCTCGTCCTCCCAACCTCTGGGGCCTGCGCGGAGACGGCCGGGCGCCGCGGGCGCGGCGAGCCGGCCCCCTGGCAAGGTCGGGGGTCTTCCCACGCAGGCAGCCAGAAGAGCGTCTCGGATGCTATCTGCTGTCTCGTCGCCGGGCGTGGCCCTGCTGTCTGGTGCCCAGCGCACTCTCACCAAGACGTGGAGTTGGGTCAGCAAGCCCGCTGAATTTAACCGTTCGGAGGTCCGCGCGGATTTCTCGGATCCGCGCTTGGGCCCCCTGGCGGCGCCTCTGGCGCCGCCCCCGGCGCGCTCCGCGCGCTGGGGGGGGAGGGAGTCCAGTGCCAATCCGTGACATTCGCGCAGACCTCCGAAATTTGATGTTTATGTCATTGGTTGCTCCCCTGCTTAGCGGGCGACAGATGGTATACCACTCCGCTTCCGCACGTGACCGCACTCATCCACTACACCTTGCGTGCCCGCCGTGCCGGTTTGACCGCCACATTCTCTTCAAATGCAGCTGGGCCTCAGTGCCCAGAGCAGCCTGCATTTAAGTCGAGCCCTGATACACAACGCGCAAGGAGTGGACAGCAGCATGGGCGAATGATGGTATAATATGAACTGTTCCTCCATCTGGGACGCCTGTCCCAGGGCGGCTGGGAAATTTGTACTTCAACCTGCCGCCGTACGGGTACAAACTTCCAAGCCGCCATGGGACAGGCCTCCCCGTTGGAGAAACACTTTAATTCACAGTGTTGTTCGCCCGCTAGATGCTATCGTTCTCTTTGTTGTTTATCCCTCTCTCTCTCTCGCTCTATTGTTTCCCTCTCTCTCTCTTCCTCTCTCTGCACACATAAGTATATGTCGTAAGTTCTGTATGGATGTCATTGTTTCTCTCTCTCTCTCTCTCTCTCCCTCTCTCGCTTGCTCCTCTCGTGTGTACACTATCGGCGCATACAGCCTTACTGCCTAAAGTCCAAACGGCGCTGGCCGCTCTTTGCATCTGAAACACGGAGCTGTGTAAGGATCTCATGTCACTTTCCGCTAAGGCTTCCTTCCCTTTTCTCCACCCGCCTCCACCTTGCACGTGTTCCCTTAAACCGTTCGCACCCCACACGAATTCAACACATGTCCTCCTTCGACTCTCTTCCTCGTCTTACATGTCATACTTTACACACGGTCTACCTAATTCACGCTCTGACGAGCAGCATGTCGTTCTGATGGTTCCCTGCCTCTTTCCCTCTCCCTCCCTCCCTCCCTCTCTCTCTCTCTCGCTCTCTCGCTCGCTCTCTCTCTCTCTCTTTCTCTCTTTTTTCCGTTCACTATCTCATTACCTTTCCTCTCTCTCTCTCTCTCTTTCTCTCTAGCGCTTTCTCTCTGTCTTTCCCTCTCTCTCTCTATCTCTCTCTCCCTCCCTCCCTCTCTCCATCTCTCTCTCTTTCTCTACCTCTCTCTCTCTCTCGGACCACGGCTCCTTGAGGACCGAACGCGGCCACCAGTGCAGGCAAGCCGAACACGCCGCATCCCAGGGCGCAACAGATCTGCGCCATCTCTCTCCCCAGCGCGCCGCCATGTCACGGTGCCGCCGCTCCGGCTTCGCCCCGAGCAGCGACCACCACGTGGCCTGCTTCGTCAGCCTGCTGCCACGTGCAATGGTTATCGCGCCCCCATACATCGGCTACCAGGTCCTGCGCTGCGTGTACTACTCGTCCGGCACGGGAATGTCCTCCTTCGGGCCCCCGTGTTTGACGACCGAGCTCTTCCTGATCCACCTGCCCGCGATCCCCCCGATCGGCCGGCTGATCTGCACGAAGACCTCCCAGCGCATGAGCTCCGCGCACTCCGTGCCGATCTTGGCGTTGTCCGCGGTGATCTCCGTGCTGTTCGCGCTGAAAGCCTGGGCCCCTCCCCCCCCGCCGGACGTGGTGGCCCTCATCCTCTTCGCGGCGTTCTCCATGGAGACCTTCAGGACCACCGTGATCACCTACCAGAAGGCCCCGCGTGATCTCCGTGCTGTCCTCCGTGCCGAAGCCCCTCCACCCGCAGAGCAGGGAGGCCACCGGGTGCCCGGGCCCCATCTCGTCGTTGTGGCCCTCCCCCTGGGAGCCCGACGGCTACCACCAGCGCCTGCCAAGAGGGCCACCCGGCCCTCACTATAGCCAGACCCCCCCGGCCGCGGGTCGTTGCGACCCTCTTGCAGAAAGTCCGACTGCCGCCCGCGGCGCTGCCCCCCGTGGCCATCAGGCCGACGCTCCAGCCGGACTCTGTGTTGTCTGCCCTGGCGCAGTCCGCTGTGACACTCTGCGTGAATGGCTGCCGGCTCTCAGGGGTATCAGCTACGGGGGTCCGCACAATACCAATGGACCCCACGACGTCGCACGACTGGTCGCCGACCTACTAGCCGCCGACGACTGTCCGCCGACGTCCAACGACTGTCCGCCGAACAGAAGGACGACAAATGACGCCGTCCGCAGCAACCACCCCCGAGAGGGTCCGCCGATTCGCGAGGACATCGGACACGAGGGTTACCAGGCCCAAGCGTCAGTCAGTCCACTCACCGTGATTCATCGTCACCCCCCCCGCCGAGCGTCCGACGTACCTCACTGGCGCTCCTTAGTGTTGCCACCAGGCCAACCCTCCAGCCAATCCTCGCGTTGGCGCGCATGTCCGTCCGACGATCGTCCACCGACCGCCGCAAAGACCGCCGACGATCGACGGTCGACTCCTCGATTTCTGACGATGACGATCGACGACCGTCACTCCGACACACCAGTGTCCGACCACCAAGCAACGACGCCGAACTCAACGACGGCGCATGACGCAGTCCGCAGCGACCCTCCGTGCGAGCGCCCGCCAACTCTCAGGAACATCAGCCACGAAGGCCACCAGGGTCCAAGCGGGAAACATAGGAACAAGGAAAGGCGACACCAACACCACCAGGGCGAGGAGATGCGAGGAGGCAAGGGGGGTCTCCCTGGTGGTGTGGTCCCCCCCTCTCGCTCGAGACATCCCCAGCCTCCAGCTCGGGGAGACATAATGGACCTCCTCGCTTAGGTGGGCCCCCTGGTGGTGTTGGTGTCGCGGTGTTGCTTCTCCTCCCTCCGAAAACAGTCCACTCAAGGAGG